CAAGAAAACAAAGCTAAAACACAAATGAATAAGCATAAATAGAGCAAAAAGAAACATTAAAGATACGAAGTTTAAACATTCCACCACTATTTAGTGATTCTAGAATCTCAGCACAACCACGAGCGTCTTGAAACAATTGGAAGCAAATTTAGTAAATAGCTATGTATCTGGGGAAAAGAAAAGAAAAGCAAAAGGAAAAGGAAACCTGGATAGAAAGAGTTAACAAGGAAAAATTGCAACCAAAAAGAAAAACAAGATACCTTGCTGAAGTATGATAAAGTAAACATTCCACCATCAGACCACACATACAATAGAAATAGAAAAAAATTGTGAAGTATGGCAAAGTAAACATTCCTTCACCAGACCACATATACAATAGAAATAGAACAAATTTGACATCACCTACAAATTTCAATTTATAATAAAGATTATCCTTTAAAAATACAATTTTAATATACAAATGAAAAGGTATGTGTATTGAACCTTGTTGCAAAGCCATTCAGTCCAAGAAGATGCTTTCCATAGAGGGGAAACAATGATCAAACCAATAACCCACTCCCTATTTTTCATCTATGAGATAACCCTCTATCATTCATATAAAATTGAACGCCTACAACAATAAATTGGGCCCCCCAAAGATCAACATAAATACAAAATCCAAGGGTGTATTATGTAATCTATAGCTAACTTGAAACTTAAACAAAAAAATAATTACAAAATGTCTCAATCATATCACAATATATTTAATAACAAGTTAAAGCAAGCCATTGTTTACCTAAAAAGTAGAATTTCGATGAAAATTATAGAATCACACCCTTGAGAATTACAACGTTACAATTCAAAAGCCTAAAATAAAAATTTAACATTAATCACTAATACAAATACACAATTCTATTACATTAATCTACTCATCATAATTTTGGAATTATAACTGAAAAACATCTTTGGTGGAATGAATCAAGATCTTTATTTAACAGTAAGCAAGCAATGTTGTTTTCATTCTTAATAACAAATGACCTTCCAAAAATATCATCCTATTTTACGAACATAAATTACAAGACAGGAAAATGAGGTTAGAGAAGATCCCATCAATATTTCTATTTTTTTTTTAACTACAATTCACAATCTAAATATCTTGATTCATTCCATCAATGATAAAGTACTTTAATCATGTTCTGCACTTTTATTTTATTCTTTCTAAGTTGAGAAATATACGCTCAAATACGCTGATTCATAGTCAAAGCAAAAATAAAAAGAAAAGAAAAGAAATATTATCTTGAAACCAGATAATTACTCAAGAAAGATTAATTTTTTAGCACTAAAATATACTAAATATAAATAATACATAAAATGCTAAACAGAAAAAAATCTAACCATTTATTCACATTAAAAAAAGTCCAATTCTCGACTTCCCGTAAACAAAATTCCATTTAAAAAAAATAAAAATTTTGAAAATGAAGCACCTACAAAAAGATTTGATTCCATCCAATAATTTCATATATAAGTAAAGATATATATATATATATATATATATATATATAGAGAGAGAGAGAGAGAGAGAATAAGAGAGTGTAATGCAAAAATAATAGAGAGAGAAATGAGGTCACAAAAAAGACTACAACTCTCTAGATCTATGGCGGCTGACATAGAGAGATAGGGCGAAAATTGAATTTGTCCTAAACGACTTAAATCTACCTCTGAACCAAATCTGATTAAAATGGGTATTTGGATATTATCTATTAAAAAAATAAGGGGCCCAAAACAAAAGCCCACTACTAAAAAATAAAAATAGAAGTGAGGGGAGCTACTGCTCCGTTCCGTCTAGGGAGAAATACTGAAAAAAATAAAAAAAAATAGCAAGCTTACAACAGACTTGCTATAAACAAAATCCAATAAACGTATACTTACATAAAAATTAAAGAGATTTTGATTTAATACGTTTCCTGAAGATATGTGAACATGAAACTATTCTTCTTGGGTTGTATAAAATGTGGGTGATGGAATTCATCATAAGCATTGCAATTTTGTGCAGATGACCTTCTGCATCAGATTTTAAAAGTATGGGTTTGTAGAGTGGGTTTGAACTGCTGGTTGCGTGAAGTAATGAAAAAAAAATTAATTGAAGGACGATAGGAAATTGCAACATCTGTTCAGCAGAAGTTTCACTCTTTTATATATGTAGGATATACGATTTAGAATACTTTTCTTTCTATCAAAATAACTCAAATATAATTAGTCCAAAATTATTTTTTCTTTACGTTATTTAATATAAGCTACAAAATGAGCATAATATCGATATATTTTTATCAACTACTAAAATACTTAAATATTCGACCCAAATAATTTTCTATAAATTTTAAAAAGTACACAAGCAAAATGAATCATTTATACAAATAAGTGGGTCACATTTATTGCTTCAACTTTTGGATTTTAGTGTGACAACAAGGTTGAGCATAGACTATTTTATCTACTAAATGACCAATATTAAATTTAGCCCATATGAAAATATAGTTAAAATTCGAGGTGTTATACTATTGATCAAGAAATTGAGACTATGAGGACACATCGGCTCCATGTAAATTTTATAGGATCATTTGAGCTCCTAGAAGGTATGAATTCTTGATTATTAATCAAAGATGATGAACCACTAGTTACGTAGAAATAAACTCAAGTGTGGATTCGAAGAAATGGAAGATGACCATGAAATCCGAAATGAATTCATTGTATGCAAATAAGGTTTGGATCTTGCTCGACCCGTCTATTGTTGTGACAAAACTCATAGGTTGTAAAATGAGTTTATAAGAAAAATATCGACATAGATGAAATATTCATATGTACAAAGTAAAGCTAATAGCAAAAGGTTACAAATAAAGACAAATAATTAACTTTGATGAAACCTTTCTAGTTGCAGCCATGTTTAAGTCCATTTAGATTTTGACAACCGTGGTGTACAGATTTTGATTGTACGTATACCAAGATTGTCAAGAATTTTGCAAAATTAACTAAAGATATAATTTTTATCATAATTTTTATTTGGACACATAAAAGATCCTCATGAGAATTGAAATTGTTTAAATTGCATAGTGCATGCTAAGTAAATTTTCAACACATTTTGGGTCGGTGCCCACAGTAACAAGAAGATTGATTATACCCTCTCAAGGGTGTACGCATAGGACTCAATCAATCTGGGATAGGTTCATCTTTCTGAAAACTTCCAAGGTCAGTGCGTTAGCAGCATTCCCATTTCAACTAGTATCCATCCTTGTGACTTCGAAGTTTGTAATAACCGTTAATATTACCATCGCATCATGCGAGGTAATGGCCCCTTTCAAGTCTTTAATGTCAAATATGACGTCCTCGTCGTTGGCAGAATATAGGATGGTCGAGGCCGATGCTCGAGCATATAGTTGTACTAGTAGAGTCTCTGTCCAAAACCATCCCTTCTCCATGATGATTCCATGAATAGACAATGGAGTTGAAATTAAATCTTAAGTTTGGTGATCAAACAAGTTTCTAACTCCATAAATACTCAAGACCCATTAAAGAAAGCATTGAAGTGAGTCAAAATTAATGATCGAAAGTGTTTTTAACCCGATAAACATCTCTCTCTGAATTGCATGTAAAATCAACTTACAAAAATGAGCAAATTCAAATTAGTCTTCCCAAACAAGCATCGCATTCCATGTCCTATTAAGAGGGCATTTATTTCTCATTTTTGTAAAAATGATAATGAAAAATATAGTCGTTATGAGTCCCACACAAGAAATAGAAGTTCAAATTTGATGACTTGATATCATTGATAATGGTCATATTTTTTATTTTAATGAGGAAAGAATGAAAAACAAATAGAGGCTAAACATTTGTTGTTAGAAATTAAAAAGTCAAAATTTTGTTCGAAAGCCATTTATGCTTTTATCCTCAATTAAAATAAATAATACTGAAGAAAATAAAACTAAAAGAAAAGAAATAATCAGACCAGATTTTGAGCTTTTGAGAATGAAATCAAAATTATTGGCAAATTTGAAAATAATAAAATGCTTTGTTGAGCTAACTGATCCCCTATTTGACAACCATTATTTTAATGACCTGTTTGAGCCCCAATTTTTTGTGGAATGTATTTTGATATAGTAAATTAATGGAAAATGTATAGTTAAAAATAAGGAAAAATTTTAAGTTCACACGTAATATTATTTTATTGAAAAATATGCGATTAGGGAGAGAGAGAGATTTTAGAAATAATGAGAATCGAGTAAAGAGTGAAACTCTTCCTTATTACGTACTCATATTTTACCACGCATTCACATAATAAAATATTCTGTAAGTAAATTAAAAAAAATTACATACTTTTTAACCAAACATTCTCTTAAAAATCATTGTTCAAATAATTTTTTCTCAAATAATGATTGTGAGCTGAATATGAAAACTTGAATACGTATTATGCCGTCAGCATTAGAATTTGGGTAATTTAGAGGAAATTCCAAGGATATAAAAATATTAATATTGTTTTAGAGGCAATTTCGTTAAATAAATTAGCATTCAATTGTTATTTCATCCTCAATATAATTGATTGGCTTTTTGGACCCATGAATTTTTTGATTTGACAATTAATTTAACGTGTAGAAAACGCACATGCTAGTGGTGATAGTGACAACGGTGACAAACTCAATGGTGGGGACAAAATTAATTGTGGCATCTAATCTAAATAAGATCGAAAGACGTTTTTTTGTTTTTTATTTAATAAAATTGATATTATTGATTTAAACTCACACTAATTGATCAAGTTAGGACACGTGAAGTTGTAAGAAAGTTTGATGGAATCATTTTAAGCACCAACTTGTCAACTTAGGACTCAGTTGCTTTTTTTCAAAAATCCAGGACCAACTTGAAATTCAGTAAATAGACGAGGGACCACTAGTGCAAATTAACTTTTATACTAGTCAACCGGTTCGACCGGCTAAATAGTGCTAGGGCACAGCCCAAACCAGCAATATAAATAGATTCTCAGTCCGCAGTGCGCGGTCAGGGCGTAACGAAGAAACGAAGCCGGAGAAGAGGGCTTTTACTTCGAGGAGCATAATCTTATCCTTTCAGCGTATACTCTCCAAGTTAAATTCCTATTTCACTTCGTAAATTAATATTCAAACATTATTTACGGATCTAGTACTCAACTGTTTTGATTATTTTGACCATCAAAATAGTAATTATCCCGTTTATCGCTTTCAGTGTTGAATTTAGTTTGTGTTCTTTTTCTGAATATTTTTATTTTGCAGAGCATGGATCGGTACCAGAAGGTGGAGAAACCAAAGGTGGAAACTCCAATTGATGAGAATGAGATACGTATTACAAGCCAGGGAAGGATGCGGAGTTATATCACTTATGCTATGACTCTGCTTCAGGTATAGAGATGTATAATTTATGCATAACTTGTGTGTTTGAAAAAAGTCTGTAATTCAGTAATTTTTTTTCTGTTTAATGCGGGAAGGTGCTTGATTTTCATCCTTTTTCTTAATGAGCGTTGAAAGTAAATGTTGAATGGGCGCGTAGTGTTTGCTGGTAGAAAAATGCGTGTGAATATTTTTACTCAGTTAGTCTTTGGAAATTTATCATATGCTTAAATTAATTGGTTCATTATATGAGTGCAGTGTATGAGTAATTTCTCTGCAGTTTTTCCAATGTGTTCTACAATCAGCGATAGACATGCTATTTTGAGGATTTAGTTTACTGAGGAACTTGGTTAAACTTATTTAGCAAAATGATTGTGCTTAAATTTGAAGGTGCAATCCTGTAGCAGTATTTTGAACCATGGCTTAGTGCTATGCTTGACCTAAATTGAATCTGCTATATAAATAGTAAATACTACTGTTATGTTTTTAATATTTGTTTTCCAATTAGAAGGGAAATATGTGAAATACTCTGAAAATTTCAATGTGTTTGTATAATTCTCAAGAGTGTTCTAACCTTTCTATACATCTTAAATTTGTATTCGTATTATGGAGAAGCTCTAGGGTCATGGGATATATCTGTTATTGACAATACAAAGACATTTTAGATAATGTTTGATGTTTCTTGTTTATTGAAAAATTTGTTAGAGAATGCAGTTATTCAGCTTTTTTTCTTTAATTAATTGTAAACTTGTGTCAGATTTTTTTTTGTGCTTATTAATTTTTTCTCAGGCAGGAAGTAGCTTTACATGATTTCTGAGTATTTAATATTTTTTTCAACTTCTTGCTTGATATTTCTATTACTCTTTCAACCCCCTGTCTGTGAATGTGTTTTAACATTGTATGCTAATGACTTGGAATGGCTGTTAGCACAATAATTTTTTGCCCACATAATTCATGGGCTTATTGTATGTCTTAATTTTATCTTAAGGGATGATTTGTACAAATGAATTGTAGGAAAAGGGTTCAGATGAAGTTGTGTTCAAGGCAATGGGGAGAGCTATCAATAAATCCGTTACAATTGTGGAGTTAATTAAGGTTTTCTTTTTCAATGGTTCTAGTTTTTTCACTTTACCATTCATTCCTTATGCTAATGTATTGGCATCATTCCTTTTGTAATTCAGAGGAGAATTGTTGGTCTTCACCAAATTACATCGATCCAATCCACCGACATAACTGACACATGGGAACCCTTAGAGGAAGGCCTCCAGACGTAAGAGTATTTCAATTTCACTGTGTCATCCTGAATTAGAATTATTTCATATCTCAAGATTACTTGAGCATGACCATAGTGGTGGCTGTTGTGAACATGTTTGCTTTTGATCCAGGCTGGAAACCACTAGAAAAGTATCAATGATTACAATTAAGCTCTCCAAAAAGGTGTTGGACACCACAAATCTAGGGTGAGTTGTTGTGGCTTTCTTCCATTTGTATGTTCACATCTGATATAAAGATTACATATAACCCTGGTTATTACTGCTTTTTGGGTTTTTGAGTAACTATAAGGTGAATATCAGTTCTAATAATCCTAACTATATCCAGATGTAAGCCTAAGTAACTCGAGGCATAAGCTTTGAGTTTAATGAAATAAAACCATAATCCTTTTATCATTTTTTAAAGAATGTTCCTTGTAATCACTATCTGGTATGCAAGTGAGCTTAAAATGCAATTTTTGTTGCCTTCTCATTTGCTGCTATGCACTGTAGGTACCAACTACCCATACCAGCTGATCAGGTGAAGGTGTTGACAGAGCTTGAGTATGAAGGAGGTGGTGTCAATATCTATAATCCTTGTTCTTATGTTAATATTCCCCAGAAAATTATCCATTCTAATATGTTGTGATTGTGTAGATGGATCTCTGGCTACTCAAAGAAGAGGTCGAGGTGGCAGAGGACGGGGGAGGTCAAGAGCCACATCTGGTATGGTTTCTGGTTGGGTTTTACTCCCAATTTCTTTTGATGAGTTATCAATCTTAATTAGTCTGTGATGCACTGTTTTACAAAGAAAACTAGTTAATTATGTTGGGATTCTGAGGGATCGATGCATTTAAGGTCTGTATAGTTGAATCTAAGAATCCTTCTCTTTATATTTTAATAACCTTTTTTTCTCTTGGTTTACAGTCTTTTTCTTTAACCAGGTATTTTAAGTTGCTTTCATTCCGTTGAGCTACCAACTTTATGCTACTGTCATTCTATGCACTGATTTTCTTGCTACAAGTACACTTTTGGATGCGATGGTGTCCTTTCTGATCTAGAGCACCATTGTTCTGCTGAAGCATCTGCTATATGCATTACTAGTCTTGCATATAGGTGTGTTGGAGTTATTGTGGGAGGTTGCTTTCTAAAAAGAAGAAGGCATGGAGTAGAATATTTAATAGCCAGATTTGGGTCAAGGCAAGGCATATAAACTTATAGTTTATCATTCCATGAAGATATTTTCATAATTGAAATAATATCTAAAAAGAATGAACAAATTAAAAATATACTAGAAAGCCACAGATGTTTAGTATATAAAAAAATTAAAATGTAATTATCTTAGATAGAGATAATTTTATGAACCAGGAAAATTGAATGTATGCAAATTTCTGTAAGACTCTGGAAATTTATTTGAATCTTCGCACCTGTGAACTTTTTGGTAACTCCCCCTTCCATGGCTTTTTCAACAGAACCAAAGACACTGCATTCAGAAAACATTCTGAGCTAGATAACAGTGGAAATAAAGCCCTTTAATTGAAATTGAAAGATATAGAAGCTGGTGAATTTAAGAAAAAAACTTACAAATAGGAACTTCAATATTTTGAAGCTCAATCTCAGATTCAATTTAGGCTTTCGTATTGAGGTGGAATATTAAAGTACTAAATGTGACTGTTAGGCGGACTTGGTCAGAGTTGTCTCTGATATAGATAAAGTATTAAAGGGGGAAAAAACTGCATAAACTCAATTACAAAAATATAATGCCTGAAAACTTGCACAAGACAAATCACATACATGCTGCCATTGTTGTAGTGTCAGTTTCTGATACTCATTCCATGTGTTTGACCATGTGTATTTCCTCCTCTTTCTTCATCCCGACAAGGTAGTGGGAACCTGCACGTCATCGAATACAACACCCCACACATTTTTGGACACATTCTCAAATCAGAAAACAAAAATTATGAAAAGCTAAAATTGGAAATAAAGACACAATTGAATAGTAGAACTAATCTGAATCTTCTGCAGGGTGAAAATCTGATGATTTGTGCCAGCGGTAAATCTCTATTTTTTTCTCCAATATGTGAAATAGAGGAGTGATGAAGCCACTGGAGGGAGATTTGGGAAAGATGGAGCAGGAGACGACAAAAGATATTCTTGGTGGGAGAGAAATTTTGGGACGTGTAAATGACAGATTTGGGTTGGATGGGAGGGAGAGGTTGAAAGAGCAGTACAACCTATGTGGCTAATTCAAAAATAGTTTTATTATGTGCACCAAGTTAATAAGAATTTCATCGAATTCAAGTTGTTGTTTGGATCCAGTTTCTTAATTGACCTATTTCAATAGTTTGTATTTGGCTTACTTTTTGATAGAAATAAGTTGGCTGAATAAACCAAATTTTGTTTAGTTTCCTATTTATAGAAATTTGAGAATTATTTTTTCCCCCAAGAAGCAATGGATAAGAGAGAGAGAGAGAGAGAGAGAGAGAGAGAGAGGGAGAGGAAAAAAAAAATTCATTTATTTTCTTTTAAACCCTGACCTATCCGCATTCTTCTTTGAAAAATTATGTGTCAGCATGTTGTTTTTGTGCAAGCTAAGCACAGAAATTTGCGCTTGAAGCCAATTGGTCAACTGGAAGTGAGCAATTGCCTTAAGTAGCTACTTTTGTGATGCAGCAAGCATCCTTGTATTCCTGGGTGATCATTTCTGTTTCATATATGACATGGGAGGTCGGTCAATTCGTCTGTATGAAAGCCATATGGTCTGTACAGTAATATACTGTTTCTTTTCCCTTCCTTTTGGAATTAATTCAGATTGAGCTTGCGACCATGCCCTTGTTTGGGCTCCATTAAAATGTAATTTTGGAAAAAAATGTATTTTAGAATAGTGATTCTTTGGAGAATGTGTTGTCAAAAAGAAAGGAAATTTTTTCGATTTACGTGTGATATTATTTTATGGGAGAATGTGGTTGAAAATGAGTTTTTGAGATAATGGGGGCCAACTTAGGCCATGATATGATCCTGCCTGTTCATTTATATTCACTCTTTCAGGCTTGTTGGTTGTATGTCTGATCAATGTGGATGTGAAAATTTATTGCTGATTTGAACATGCCTTGTGGACATGAGTTTTCAATATTCTAATGTATGCCTGCATTTCATTACAGGGAATGGTTTTGCACCTGCTGAATATGAGGATGGAGGTTATGGGTGGAATCGCGGGTACCCCAGGGGTAGGGGACGAGGCAGAGGACGCTATTTCCGTGGTAATGGGAGGGGAGGGTACAACGGTCCACAGGCGGATGCTCAGCGTGACAATGAAGGCTTCAATCAAGAACCACCAGTTCGAGGTACTTTCTTCATATATTTTGTTTGACATTCTTCTATAATTTAAATATAAAAAGCAGGACGAGGCCGTGGGAGGGGAATTCGTGGCAGGGGTCGTGGATTCACGTCTAATGGGCCGATCCATGCTACAGCTGGAGTTGCTTAAATGTTCAAACTTGGAGCAATGAAGACATAATCTTCTCTGAGCTTCGATAAATGTCTGCTCCATTTCTACCTGTTTCGCATTTGTTACTAATTAGGATGTTTTATCTATGTAATCACCTTAGACTAACCTCTAAGTTCCTGGCCACACATAGGAGTGGTTGAGCCGTTTTGTTTTCTATTTTTAATCTTTTTGCTTTCATAGTTGGATCTTAATTAACAAGGTGTAATTTGATTAGCAAGGACATTCTTTAATTCGTGTCTGTAACAGTTTGTTGTTGGCTGATATTTTATTAGTGAACCTCCTATTGTCAGTAATAGAATTTATTCAAGTTCATGTTTGGGCATGTTCATAAGTTGTGGGTCGTACAAAATGAATGGGTGGACAGTAAGGCAGCTCTCGTCCGACCCTGTGCAGTTGACACCACCATAATTGAAGCCGCTGGATAGCTCACACTGAAGTGCGATTTCTGTGTAACCCTTTGTCTATAAGGTTCTTTACATTCATCGATGGCTTTTAAATGAAACTGCTATCAAGAATCCTGAATTAATTGAGATTGCATAACAACGAAAAGTAGAGAAACATAAGATCATTTTTAGCAGAAAAATGCATTCAAAGTTTTCATGTGCTCAGCAATTTACCTGATGGACAATTTTCTACTAAATGGAATATGAACCTCGGATCGTAAAATGCTAATTATCAAAACCAGTTTAAAAAGCATGTAGCAGTTGCACAAAAATTGTTAAGACGGTGCATACGATTTTTCTTCAATTTATTCAACTTTCTATAAATAGAAAACGAGTTCCAGATGAGAGAAAACAATGTGGTGTAGCAACGAACGACAACCAGAATTATAGAAGACGGGGAAACAAGAATAATGGATGTAGATGTTAACTACAAGAAGATAAACCATGCTAAGAAACATATATCCTAACCATTAATATATTACAATGATTCGCAAAATGGTAAACTTACGTCCAATGATCGAACAACGTTGACAAAATTAACGATCGAACATTAAAGCTTACTATGACCAAGAAGTTCATACGTTTCGACGAGGCATAGATCAAATGCAAATTGACATCTCCCATTCAAGTCAATCCCTTTCCTTTCCTATCACATTCGAAAATTCCTTTTCCATTGCTACATGTTACGTGCAATGATATGTCGACGTCTCGTTTCTCGGTAATTCGAGCTAGACTATCAAATATTCTTGCCAAGTCTTCATATTCTTTGTTGGGCTCAGGATTCACCAGTACTTGATTCTCTACTTAAATCTTCATTTTTATTACAAATGAGAACAAGCGCCCTTTGTTTCCAGTATCCAGTTCCACCTCAAAACATTTTCGAAAACCGTGTTTACATGAAGGGTGTCCACGTTATGTTTGGCAAGTCCAAAGTAGCAAGTGCTACTTCTACAATCGTGACAAACTCCGAAACTCCTTCCTCTCATTCTAATCAACAATTATTGGAGAAACAAATAAACCCTCATGAATGAAACTGAATTATGAAATTCCACGTTGGAACTTATGTTCAAGTAGAGATAATGGCATGGTCATGGATAACTACTCAAACTTAAAACTAGACAGTGAACAAATAATAACCGTTATAGTCTATGAATGCGATACAATAACTACTCAAACTTAAAACTTCACTTCGAACCTCGAAAATAAGGAGGTAAAACATGGAAGTTCTCCATCACAGGCATTTTCCTTTGTTAATTAATAAGTTCGAAAATGACAGAAGTTATAGGCAACACATGTAGAACTCTAAAATTCTAAATCTCAACGTCATTCCCAATCATATCTTTCCCTTTCAGAATTCGAAAAGAGCAGCTAAGTCACATAAGCGAAATCTTCATTCCTAAATCCAAGGGATCACAGATGAAAAATCATTCAACTCATTTGCAAATCCCAGAACATTCGAACTATATCTACTACCAAGAATCTTCATTCCTAAACCCGAGGAATCATTCATAAAAAATCATTGAACTCATTTGCAAATCCAGAACATTCAAACAATATCTACTATGAAGAAACTTAGAAGGCAGGAAGTATATGTTACAAATGAAGAGAATGATCCTTGCGAATCGTTCATTCCTAATCCCAAGGAATCACACATGAAAAATCATTGAACTCATTTGCAAATCCAGAACATTCAAACAATATCTACTATGAAGAAACTTAGAAGGCAGGAAGTATATGTTACAAATGAAGAGAATGATCCTTGCGAATCGTTCATTCCTAATCCCAAGGAATCACACATGAAAAATCATTGAACTCATTTGCAAATCCCAAAACATTCAAACTATATCTACAGCCAATAAACTTAGAAGGTAGAAAATATATCTTACAGATGAAGTAAGAGAATGAACCTTGTTCTGGGATTTGCACTAATAAAAACACTCTCATCATTCATCTGCTCCAACCTCAAAATCAGAAAATTTATCAAACACGGTAGCTGAAAATTCTTTGATATGTATCTCATCAGATCGATAAGTAAAAATACGTACATTTAATTTTGTTTTCATTAAATTATTGTACTTTTTAATAGATAAAATTTATTTCAAGGTATATAATGTTAATGTAGATAATTTTTTTAATAGATTTGTGAAAAAGTTAAGCATTTGACAAGAAAAAAATTATTTGCATGTACGAAAAAATTCATCAGTAAAAGTTTGGTATGTTTATATTGCTATTTTGCTGGACAGCCAAATTTTAACAGATACTCAAAAATTCAATATACTTCATTACGAACATGTCGCAATTTCCCCTGCAATTGAACAATAATGAATTAGATCAGTACTGTGTAGCAGAAAAATTAAATATTAAATTTAAAAAAATTTAGAACCACTTACGATATTGTCTGCTTGACCGTCGTCGTATCCTGCACGACGGCTAATCTATCCTTCACAGTCAATCTCACCCGTCTAGCTATCATAGGGACGAAAAAAGCAATGGACTCTAGATTTTACTTGAGCTAACCTATGTCAGACATGAATGATCGGGGTCTTACACATATATACTAGACTCAGCGAACACAATCTCCAAAGCTATGCAGTGATGATTCACAATCACTGGTATGTACATATGTATACAACCCTCCCATGACTTCCCTCGACATGTGGCCACATCTCTATGATCCACTCAAGCATATAATCAAGCACCGTGTACTCCTTGTCGGCATGTTGGATTTGCTCCACCATATCTTGAAGCAGCACGCCGACCCCCTAATATAACTCCCATCAGCTCTCGACACAGCGTGTCGATCTCCTGCACCATAAATACAGTCAATCAATAGTACAAATCATCAGAATAATGACCCTAAGGAAGAGTAGGTGATCCCGGCGGTGGAGGTTATGCCCTGGGCGGAGGTGATGCCCGATCAATTGGCTCGTGGTCCTGCACAAACTTACAGATTATTAACTTATTCAATAATTGCTATTTCATACAAAATATTAATCAATAATTCACTTACCTAGTCTCGGTCGGGGATTGAATCGGACATCTGGTCGTCTTGGGTATCCAAAACTGCTACTTCACGCATAGGACCTTGGGCCTCCTCCTCTATTGACGGTGTCAAATGAGTTATTACTTCAAACTAACATATTGACATTTCAAATCATTAACAATCATGTAATGAGATTGTAAACTATGTACAATATAAATCACAAATCTATAATACTCACATGAGAGTCGTCGAGGAGAGCCGATAATTGTTTCCTAGTGAAACATCTCTCCGCTCGAGATGCTCGCCAATGGTGCATCCGAGGGCAGCGTGTCTCCCCTCGTCATGCAAAGAGGGCTCCCAATATGGGGACAGTCTCATACCCCAGATCTGCAACACAAATTAGTACATACAAATTCAATAGAAAAAATATTTTAACATTGATTGTGTTAATTATTTATCTGCAATGCCAGGGAAAATCCGAAGGTGTCGTACTTACGCACGGGCTCCTTAGGCTTCAAGTGCGTCTGGTGAAGATATGTATAGCGCTCTCGAAATATCGACGGTCCCATGGATAGTTATTGAAACGATCTATGTCGTCGACGATCTCCAAGTGGAAGAGATCGATTTCAGTCTTCTTGTGGTGACACCGCATCACACTCTCAATGATGTAGATCAGACCTAACTTTAGTCTTTCTAAAATCTCGTCACACCTCCTAATTGCGTCCATCAATGAGGCAGAACCACTGCTCCCTATCCCTAGAAATAAGTGTCCTGCAGCTATTCTTCTCTGAGTCCCGCTGCTAGCTGTCTCATCGCCCGTAATCTTTAATCCAGTGAGTAGGGGCAAACTCGAACATGAAAAAGCTAGCGACTTTGCCCCCGAGGTCAAAGTGGAGGGTATCGTCGTCAATTGGACTCGACAACAGACATAGAAGAGCATCGATCATCTAACCCTAATACTGCAACTCTCTCAACGGGTTTAGAGGTCACAGAAATGGCTGATGCAGAATCTCTACATGCTGGTCGTAAAGCAGCTCCAGGACCTGGGTGAAACTTTCAAAGTTACTGTTCCACGTAACTTTGCCTAACATCTGTCTTAACTCTGCATCCAGATGATAATTCATCTTGCAAAAATTGAAATATAATATTAGAATATTGTACAAGAAATAATAGAATGAAGCATAATAACCAAAAATTAAGCGAACCGACTCATAACTACTATACGCAAGTCGCATATTCAAGAAATTTTTACCCTATTACGAAAAATTAATAATTAAAATTTAAAATAATAGTTAAAATAAAAAATTAAAATTAAGGTGAAAATATAAAATTATTCATTTACCCTATTACCAACAAGTAATAATTATAATTATAATTAAAAGTTAAAATTATAATTAACTAATTAAATTAAAAATAAAAATAAAAATGAAAATAAAAAATTATTCAAATTAAATTAATAATATGAATTTTTTACCATATTATCGAAAATTAATAATTAAAATTAAAAAATAAAATGGAATTTAAAATTACAATTAAAATTAAATTTAAAATAAAAGTTAAAATTAGAATTAAAAAATTAATTTTAAAATAACAAAATTCTTTAAATTAAAATTATAATTAAAATGAAAATTTAAATTTAAATTTAAAATAAAAATAAAAAGTTAAAATTAGAATTTAAAAATTAATTTGATAATGAATTTTAGAATAACAAATTTCTTTAAATTTGATAAAGAAAAAATTTATTTAATTAAAAATTCCAAACATTTAATGATTGAATTAATTAAAAAAAAACTAGGCTGATTGCAACTTAACAGTCGAGAACCGCTTAACACTCGGCCCACGACTGTAACAGTCGGCTAATTTAACAGTCGTGAGCCACTTAACACTCAG